GTTTAGCTAACATGCAGCAGGTAAGATGGTGCCTGTTTAGCTAACATGCAGCAGGTAAGATGGTGCCTGTTTAGCTAACATGCAGCAGGTAAGATAGTGCCTGTTTAGCCAACATGCAGCAGGTAAGATAGTGCCTGTTTAGCCAACATGCAGCAGGTAAGATAGTGCCTGTTTAGCTAACATGCAGCAGGTAAGATAGTGCCTGTTAACACCCTCTGAGCAGAACGTCTGGTTCCTCCTGCAGGAGTTTGCAGACAACCTGGGGATCCCGTTCCTGGAGACGAGTGCTAAGAGTGCCACCAACGTGGAGCAGGCCTTCATGACCATGGCAGCAGAGATCAAGAGGAGGATGGGTCCGGGGGCCACGGCCGGCGCCTCGGAGAAGTCCAACGTTAAGATCCAGAGCAAACCGGTCAACCCTTCACCTGGAGGCTGCTGCTGAGGGCTGAGACCAGCCTGAAGCCCCGCCCCCAGCCCCCCTCCCTGACCTCCTCAGTCCAGCCAGTCAGGCCTTCRTCTGGAGACTGCTGAGACCAGTCTCCCCCCACCTGATCCCAGTCCACAACCCTGAACCCCGAGACCCGGAACCAGCCTCCTGAGGACAGAGAGGCTGGAGGAGACTCTAAGGGTCTCCCTCCATCAGTCAGCAGCAGGACGTTTAAGYCCCGCCCCCTTCCTTGGTCACATGACAGCGTTTTTAACAGAAGAGAATCTGATTGGTTCGTGCTGCTCCTCACACACAGAGTCCTGCAGAGCGGCACGGMTCAAACCAGCAGCGTGCACGCCACAACGTCTGTGACATGGCTCCGCCCACTCAGGCCACGTGCCTTCATGACAGGACAAACTGCTGCCCCCTCCCCCACAGCACACACCCACCCTGCACCGTGATAACATTCCTGTGAGCGTGCACGCTGCTGGTCTGCTTCCTGTGAGCGTGCACGCTGCTGGTCTGCTTCCTGTGAGCGTGCACGCTGCTGGTCTGCTTCCTGTCGGAGCAACGTCAGCAGGTCCAGCTCAGAGTTTATAAACTGTAAATATTTATACAAGAGAAGACGAGTCAGAGAGGACGAGTCAGAGAGGACAGGAGAAGACGAGTCAGAGAAGACAAGAGAAGACGAGTCAGAGAACATGAGTCAGAGAAGATGAGTCAGAGAGGACAGGAGAGGACGAGTCAGAGAGGACGAGTCAGAGAAGACGAGTCAGAGAGGACAGGAGAGGACGAGTCAGAGAGGACGAGTCAGAGAAGACGAGTCAGAGAAGACGAGTCAGAGAGGACAGGAGAAGACGAGTCGGAGAGGACAGGATAAGACGAGTCAGAGAGGACGAGTCAGAGAGGACGAGTCAGAGAAGACGAGTCAGAGAAGACAAGAGAAGACGAGTCAGAGAAGACGAGTCAGAGAGGACAGGAGAAGACGAGTCAGAAAGGAAGAGTCAGAGAGGACAGGAGAAGACGAGTCAGAAAGGAAGAGTCAGAGAGGACAGGAGAAGACGAGTCAGAGAAGACAGGATAAGATGAGTCAGAGAAGACGAGTCAGAGAAGACAAGAGAAGACGAGTCAGAGAGGACAAGTCAGAGAAGACGAGTCAGAGAGGACAAGTCAGAGAAGACGAGTCAGAGAGGACAGGAGAAGACGAGTCAGGGACCAGAGGACCAGAGAAGGAGGGCAGCAGGTGGTCTTGGCTGCAGACGTGACTTTTCTGTGGCTCAGTGTTGATTAAAGAATGAAGGAGATGTKTGATAAGTTTGACTCCGCCTCCTCTGTTACTGCTGCTGACACTGGGMCAGGTGAGGACACTGCTGTCTGAGCAGGTGGACATGTTAGAAGCACATGATGAAGACATCTGATTTATAAATAAAGGGATAAATGTTGGAACAGATGCTTTATTTCCTGTCTGGAAACAAAAGTTAATATTTAGTTTAGCTGTGAACAAACCAGTCAGACCAGTTTTCATCTTAAATTAGTTTAATTTTCTTGTGTACACTAAAATTTACACACCGGTGGTCTGGACAGAAGCTGACATGCTCTGAAGTGCTTCAGCTGGTTTCCATGGGAACATGTCCATCCCATAATTGACCTGCACACAGTCTAAAGCCACAGTGAACTACCATTACATCATTTCATCTTTAMAATGTGCAACATCCAGAAACCTGTTGGTCCTTCTGACGAGACGCCTCTGTGCTCCAAGCGTCCCGCTTTACCCCGGAGACAGGGGACAGGGAGAGCAGGGGACAGGGACATGAGGGGACAGGGAGAGCAGGGGACAGGGACGCTGAAGGACAGACACAACCCAACAGAACTAAGGCCTCTGAAGACGGGGGACAAACTTCAGCTGGATTTTGCAGGCAGTGTGGTTTCTAGTCCATAAATAGATTTATAAACTCTAAATATAAACGTATTTTATAGATTTATACACCTCCTTCACTTTAAGAGCTTCAGCCAGTGTTTCCTTCACACTCCCGCCAAAATAAAAGCAGGAATCATCCCATTCAAACATTAACCCCTCCCCCCACATTATAAATGCTTTTATTTTGAAAAGATACATGAAGACAGTCACAAACCAAAATTTAAACGTTGGAATCAGGAACTAAACACGGTAAGAAAAATAAAAAGTTTAAAGTGGGAGGGGCCAGGTAAGGTGAAGGGGTGGAGCTTCAGTCGGCCGTGGCCTGCGAGCTGAGCGGCGTCAGCGTGGCGGGAAACATCAGAACCTTGGCCTGCATGAAGGACAGGTCGGGCAGCGCCACGATGACTTTCRCTGCCTCCTCGCTCAGGTTCTCGTCCTTCCTGGGTTTCCTGATGGACACGGGACAGAACCGGACCTCAGAACTGCTGGGAGCAGAAACAGGACCCCCAGCCCCCCTCACTCACCTGGTGGACGTGCTGGTCTTCTCCATKGTGGACATGAGGCGGGCAAAGGCGTCGGCCACACGGCTGCCGGACCCTCCAGAGTCCAGCTTGGCCGTGGTCAGCTCGAACAGCTCCGGGTCCACACCTGAACCAGAACCAAGGGTTAGTGCTGCATCCCTGAACCAGAACCAGAACCAGACTGAAGCTTCATGCAGAAGGTCTGTTGAAGATGAACCACTGAGAACCAGCTGAAACTCCTCCTGGTTCTGATCCAAGTCCAGACCTCTGATAAAGTTCTGCATCAACTATCTGAACATACTTCCTGACCCAGTTCTGTCAGACTGTTCTACGGGAGGCCCAGTTCCGTCAGACTGTTCTACGGGAGGCCCAGTTCCGTCAGACTGTTCTACGGGAGGCCCAGTTCCGTCAGACTGTTCTACAGGAGGTCCAGTTCTGGCAGACTGTTCTACGGGAGGTCCAGTTCTGGCAGACTATTCTACAGGAGGTCCAGTTCTGGCAGACTGTTCTACGGGAGGTCCAGTTCTGGCAGACTGTTCTACGGGAGGTCCAGTTCTGGCAGACTATTCTACAGGAGGTCCAGTTCTGGCAGACTATTCTACAGGAGATCCAGGAGTTCTGTTGGACTTTAGAGGATCTGGACTCATTTCCTGTTTGATTTAATCCAAGTGAAGAGAAACAACAAGGAGCTGCAGGATTAACTGATCAGGATTAACTGATCAGGATTAACTGATCAGGATTAATTAATCAGGATTAATTAATCAGGATTAACTGATCAGGATTAACTGATCAGGATTAACTGATCAGGTTTAAGTGTAGATATAATTCATAGAAAGGAGCTGCTGGTTTAACCCTAACCCTGTGTTAACGAGGAGGAGGAGCTGCGGACTCCTGCTGACCTGGGATGGAGGCTGAGCTGCTGGAACCTGAATCCTCCACAGGACCAAAGAAATCCAGGTTTAACAGAGCCGAGCCTCCGCTGGCTGGACGAGCGAGGTTAACAGAGACAGAGAGAGAGAGAGAGGAGAGGTGATGCAGCAGAGCTTCAGGTTAATAACAGACGTCTGCATGCAGCCTGACCTCACATTACWGTTAGTAACCACCCAGAGATTAGCTCCACCCCCTGAGGGGAGGGATCCACAAGATGCTGTCCAATCAGAATGCATCGTGTCAAATTCAGGCTGAATGAATCTTGGATCAGGAGATTTAAACCTGGTTTGGTTCCCTCAGCTCAGACTGAAAGGTTCTGATGGGTCAGAGGGAAAACCTGCAGCTGGACTGAAATAAAAACATGTGTCTGATCCTCAAACTCTGCAGAATTTATTTTATTAAAGTCCAGTTCAGGACAGGTCTTTGTCAGTCTGTCGCTGCCTTCATGATGCAAGCAGGAACTAAAGCTTTTATTTTGACAGTCCAGGGGTCAAAGGTCACCTACCGTCCAGAGGGTTGGTAAGGCCACTGCTGCTCCAGTCGAACTGGACGGGTGGGAGCGCCTCCTGCTGGAAGAACAGAGAACAATCAGTTTTATCTCCTGACGCCTCGGACCGGTTCTGACTGGCTGAGGACGGCCTGTCCCACCTGGACAGAGTCTGAGGGACAGGAGCTTTTCTCTGGAGCTGCAGGAGGCCACTGGGCGATGGAGGCGATCATCTCAGCTGCAGAGACCACCTTCACCGGTTCTTTGGTGGGTTCCAGCATCCCCTGACAGAACCAGGAGTCTGTTAGTGCACACTCATCACGTGCACGCTCATCACGTGCACGCTCATCACGTGCACATGTCATCACGTGCACATGTCGTCACGTGCACAGATCGTCACGTGCACATGTCGTCACGTGCACAGGTCATCACGTGCACATGTCATCACGTGCACATGTCATCACGTGCACAGGTCATCACGTGCACAGGTCAGCTGACAGGAACTCACCAGGCCAGCGGCGTACATGGGGACGATGACCGGCTTGTTCTTCTGGCCCGTGAAGAGCTGAAGGACAGAAGAACACAGAGGGGTTCCTCAGACAGGACCAGCTGATGGAGACCTGGACCCAACAGAACCCTGGTCCAGCTGAGACTTACGATGTTCCTGGTGTCGATACCCAGGCAGCAGAGCAGGACCTTGTTGCAGTGCGAGCCCCCCCACTGATACCTGAGACCCAGCGCCTCGTGGACGTCCTGAAGCCGGGACCACATGGTACTGTGCACGGACCTGCAGAACCAAGCAGAACCACAGACACACTGATGGGTGCAGRAACAGCTGGAGTCTGACAGGAACATCTGGACCTGGGTCCCGTCAGGACCTAAACCTCTGGTCTGGTGTGGACACGCTGGACTCACAGGCTGCAGGGTGTCCTCTGCTCCTCCTCCTGGACTCCAGGCTTCAGTCGGTCCTCTGTGGGGTCCAGCAGGACCTTCAGGGACACCACCTGGTCCTCCAGCTGCTGGTTCTGGACGGAGTTCTGAGGGAAGCTGCAGTGGAACAGCTTCTCTAGACGGCTGGACCGCAGCGCCTGCAGAGACCAGAGCCGCTTGTTAACCGGGTCCAGACCCGTCCAGAACCACCAGACCTTCAGAATCCCTCAGGTCAAACTGCTAACAGCTGTTCTCAACACCAAGGTTCTGGTTCTGGTTCTTACCGTCTGTTCTGCTGTCCTGTCCACCTGCTCCCTGACTGCAGGACTTCCTGTTTCCTGCTCCTTCTCCTGCTCCTCCCTCTCTGCAGGAGGCGCAGCGCTCGGCTCGGTGCTGAACTCGGCCCAGGACTCCYCCTGCGTCTCCTGCTGGTCCCCGAAGGCGCTCCATCCAGAGTCCTGCTGTCCTCCTGCAGCCGAGCTGAAGGTCCCGAAGCTGTCGCTGGCAGGAAACTGCMCCCCCTCGTCCCCCCCGGAGTCCAACCTGGGGGAGCTGAAGTCTCCAAAGTCGTCTTCCTGCTCCACGTCRGTCACTTCCTGTGCAGGACCAGAACCCTGCAACGTGTTCTGGTCCCGCTGAACCTCCAGGTGTTCAAAACCTGAAAAGTCCTGACCGCCGAACGAGCCGGTGTCCCCGAAGTCTCCGAAGTCTTCGTCTTCCTCTGCGGGGGTGGCCGTGTCTCCCTGGAGGGGYGGAGACGGCACAGATCCGGTAAGGCTCATGTCTCCGTACTCCTCCAGGGCTTCTGTGGACAGAGGACGTCCAAACGATGTCTCCGTCTCCGTCTCTGAGCTCTTCTCGTCTGACTGCAACGCATCAGACTGAAGCTCCATGTCCCCGTCCTCCACCGTCTCTTTGGACCTATCCATCAGGACCAGAGGGTCTTTAGTGCAATCAGTCTGTGAGGGGTCCTCCGTGAGGACTCTGTCCCTTTGTAGTGAGTCTGTGGTACCAGGACAACCCGGCGTCTCAGCTCCGGTCCTGTCTGTGTCCCTGACCGTGTCCTCTGTTCCCTGATTGTGGACGGCAGTCTCCAGCGGCAGGTGGGACGCCACAGGACCCTCCTGAGCCGCCAGGCATCCCTCAGCGCTGGAAAAAGCAGAAAAGTCTGCAAACTGGTCCTGTGGGCTGGGGACAGTGTCCTCAGTGGACAGTCCTCTAAACGGAGAGTGGACAGAGTCCTGAGGGGAGGGGCTTCCCTGAAGGTCAAAGGTCACAAAGCCGTTGGTCAGCACCTCTGGGTCTCCACCGTTACACTCGCTGCCAGCYGGACCCCTCACAGACGAGTCCAACGAACAGGAGACCACCTTCCTGGGTTCAGTTCTGTCCAGGTCCAGGTGGTTCCTGGGCCCCACGCCGTTGGACCTGGACAGCTCGGTCCCATTGGAGGTGCCACAGCTGAASCCCACCCCCCCTCTGCTGCTCAGGAGCTCGGGGGGCGAGGTGGCAGTCAGGGCCTGGGTCTGGTTGAACGTGGTCTGGGTCTCAAACTCAGACAGGCTGATGCTGCTGGGGACACTGGAGAAGGTYCCGAAGTCCCCAAACTCATCGTCCTCTTCCTCTGCGCCGTCCTCCAGCGGTGGAGGAGAGGACGAGTACATGCGGACCACTTCTGGCTCCATGGTTCTGTGGAGACTGGACCGGGCTACACCTGGGACAGAGACAAGAACC